TCTAAACTCTTTATCTCCTTCTCTCTCGGCTATTGTCTTTTTCTTCTCTTTCTTCTCTCCAGATATCGCAAGGTCAAAAGGTCATAGCCTCGTCACATCATAGCTTCCACAAGTTCAGTCAGCAAGCCACGAGGGTAAGCCCTCGGGAAAATCTCTTTTGTACTTCTCACAAGCCAGCTTTTATACACTTACTTTAGTTATCTAGAATGTTCTATTACTATTTATAGCGTATTACAAGTTGTACTATTTTTGGAAACTGCTGCGTCACAAGAAAGATGTTTCTGGAATATTACAGATTATAGATAATTCTAGAAAAGTCTAGGATTGCGTGACAGATTCAGTAAAAATAATTCGATCCTCATAACAACATCAGGATCTCCATCGAGTACGTTGTTAAATGCTTCGGTCTGCATTGGCCACATGTGTTCGGGCTTCCAAAGGTATTCCGGCCCCATTAACCAACGCCGCTGACTAATGAAGACGTCGGCTGTCAATCCTCGAGAGACATCGTCGGCGGGATTCATGTCGCCACTCACATGGTTCCACTGATGGGGTTCAGAGCCATCACGAATAAGTGCGACACGATTGGCTACAAAAGTGTGGAATCGCCTTGTTTCGTTCTTCACGTAACGTAATACTGCAGTGCAATCTGTCCAGAAGACGGACTGGGAACTAATCGGTATCTCTAATTCTCTCTACAAGACCTTGTCCTGCTTGGCGGAGATTGCTGCGGCAGACAACTCAAGGCGCAGGATCGTAATCGTCTTTAAGGGTGCCACACGTGACTTGGCACACAGAAAAGAACAGTGAACGGCACCCTCGCCATTAATAAGACGCAGGTAGGAAACCGATCCGAGACCGCTCTCTGAGGCATCAGAGAAATGGTGCAGCTGGCTTGAAGAGATGTAGTCGAAACCAACTGGCTTAACACAGCGATCGACAGAAAACTGCGATCGTTTAGGAAGATCAGCCATCCATCGCTCCAGGCGTGCCCTGTGCTCTTGAGGAATAGGATCATCCCAATCTAGCTTGACTCGACATAGGTCCTGAAGCAAGCGTTTGGCCGGTAACACGAAGGGTGCGGCAAGGCCGAGGGGATCGTAAACAGAACCGACAATCGAAAGAATTCCTCGCCGTGTGGGCGGTTTGAGCTTAATATCCACTTTGAATCCAAAGGCGTCTGTCTCCACGCACCATTTAACACCAAGAGCTCTCTCGAATGGGAGGTCATCCTTACTAAGGTCAAGACTTTTCACTTCTTTGGCGCGCTCGGCCTCGGGGATGGTTTCGAGAACCCTGCGACTATTGCCGATCCACTTTGTCAGCCTAAACCAGCCTTTTGAGAGTAGTAACCGTAGGTCCCTCGCGTGCTGTGAAGCCTCTTCGACTGAAGGTAGGGCCTTGAGACAATCATCTACGTATAAGTTGTTTTTGACCGTGCTCAGAACTGCCTCTGGGAAATATTGGCTGTTGTCGTCAGCTGTCTTGCGCAAGGCAAAGTTCGAACATGATGGAGACGAGGCTGCACCGAACAGGTGTACAACCATTTGGTACTCCTCAAGGCTACTCTCCAAGTTGCCATCGGGCCACCACAGGAAGCGAAGATAGGAGCAGTCCGCCTCAGATACCCTGTCTTGGTAAAACATCAATTCGATGTCCGCCATGAGCGCGATCCTCTCCTGTCGAAATCTCGTTAGGACTCCAGATAGATTGTTCGTCAAATATGGGCCCTTAAGCAGCAGGTCGTTAAGAGACGTGCCTTGATATTTAGCCGAGCAGTCGAAGACGACGCGTATATTGCCCGGCTTGTGCTGGTGGTAAACTCCATGATGCGGAATATACCATTTGTTATCACTGGGGTCCTGGAGATCCGCTGGGACCTTTCGGGCGTAACCCTTGTCAATAACGTCCGCCATGAAACACTTGTAGTCGTCGTACAAGTCCTTGTTACGCTGAAGTTTCCTCCTTAGCCAGTGAGTGCGTTGTTCGACCTGCGGTTTGTTGTTCGGGGCTGGTGCTTCGCGATCTTTTAAAAATAGCGCCATTTTATAGTGACCATCTCTCAAGACTATGGTACGCTCCAACTCGCTGAGGAAACGAAGCTCTTCTTGTTACATTTCAGGTTTGTCATCAGCGCAGGATTCACTGGAACCACTGTCGTAAAAATTCTTCACCATCTGATAAAATTCAAGGTCAGCCTTGATAACGAAACTGGCAACGCGTGAATCCTTTCGAAAACGCCCAGAAGGACCGTTAACCACCCATCCCATACTTGTTCGGGAAGCACAGGAACCGCCGTTTTGACTGTGCTTCACTTCCAAAGGATCAAAGACCGTAGGAACATCACAGGCTACGACGAGGCCTATATCGGCATCAACTTCAGGTAGACATACTCCGCACAAATGTGGCCACTGGTCAATGTCACCCTGAGTGGGTATGTCCTCCTTTGAAACGGGTGTTTCTGGTCGCGTATAAAGTGCTGGCAGCTCGATAAACACATTTTCGTCCAAATCCGAGATGACAAGACCTTTCACAACGAAGCTGTCAATAAGACTGTCTTTCTTTTCCAAAGTTGTTGGGGAAATCTGAGTTCGGGTAGCATTGACGCCCAACTGTCTCATCAAGGACTCCGTGCAAAATGAGGAGGAGCTACCGCTGTCCAAAAATGCGTAGGCAATCACAGGAGGACCTGTGGATTGAAACCAAACTTCGACTGGAACCGCAGCCATGCCTATTCTTGAGCGGTCTATATTAACCATTCCGTTACGAACGCGAGGGGACTCCTCTCGCGGTGAAGTACAAGTGGAAGGAATGCCAGATTGTCGAATCCTTGGCGCAGTGTTCGTATGAAGAATTGTTGGATGTTTTTTCGTGCAGTTGGCAACCGTACATGTTTTCTTTTCCGGGCACTCCTTCAACATATGATTGGAGGACAAACAACCAAAACAGAGGCGCTATAATTTCAAGAACCGAGTTCGTTCTGGATACGGGAGGCGTCTAAGGGCCTCCCAGGCGACTAGGGCGTGCCCGGAATTGCAGAAGGAACATAAGACGTCCTCGGTGGGAGGAGTTGATCCAGAGGGTGGCGCACGAAGAGATGGGCTCTGGAGATCGCCTACTTGTGTAGCAAGACTTGTTCTACCTCTACCGGATCTATTCTGCTTATCCCTCCGTTCATTCTTGGGCTTTGTGTCTTCAGTAATCTTTCCGAATACGGGATTGGCAATTACCCTTGCTTTGTTATCTACGAATTCGGCAAGGTCGCTGAACGTAACAGATCTTCTCTCAGTTTCTATCACGATATCGGCTAAACGGCGCCAAGTTGTTCGTAAATTCAATGGCAACTTCATGACGAGCTTTTGTATTGTGTCAGGCTGCTCGAGCTTGGTCCGGTATTTGCTGCATTTCATAGCGGTTTTGCATCTCATGAGAAAGATGAAAAACCTGTCCAGAGAGGCACTGTCCTCAGCTCTCACTTCAGGCCAATTTAACACCTTGGTTTCATAGGAAGTCACAATGCGATAATCGTCATCAAATTTCTCTTCTATTAGCCATCGGGCTTCCTGATAACCCCTTTCAGATGGAAGGTGATGGCAAGATCGAACTAGTTCTTGAACATCACCACTAGTAAACTGTTCAAGGTAATACAACCTCTCAGTACCACTTGAGGTTCTAGACTCAATGAGGTTTTCAAAGGCTCTAACAATGGCGCCATAGTCCATTGGATCACCATCGAGGATAGGAACCCTTTGTTGGGGAAGACTGCTTTTCTTCTGCTGAGTCGCAAGCATTTCCACGATTTTGTTCTGCTGTTGTTGCAGCGCGTTTTGACGGTGATGCAGCCCTAGCATTTCGTGAGAGGCCCTCTCACTTGGTGATGTCGACGCACCAGAGTATTCAGACTCGTTAGCACGTTCATTCCTGTTAA